GCCCGGGCTGAGGGGCGGTTTGAAAAGCGCGGGCCGTGAGGCAGACCCGGCCCGTCCGGGGCTTTGCTGGGGGCACGGGGGAGCAGGCACCGCCATGGAAGCGCGTCTGGGCCTTCCCGGCCCCGCTGGTAGCTCTGGCTGCGGCTTGGGTCCGTCCTCGCTCCGCTGGGGCGCCCGCTGTCCGACACGGAGCCAGCGACCATCTCCTAGCTGAAACACGGCTTTCCCCCTACCCCAGCTCCGACTCTGGCGATGAGAGACAGAAATGGAAGAAGAAGAAAAGCAAAAGCAGGGACCAGCACCGTAAAAGCCAGAAGAAACACCGCTCGCGGTCCCGGGGTCGCTCCTCGAGCTCAGAGCGTGAGCGAGACAAGAGGAGAGCCCGGAGCAGAGAGCGGCGGAGCAAGAGAGATGGCTCCAAGTCTTCTGTGTCCTCCGTCAGCTCTCCCTCCCCACCGCGTTCCCGGGGTAGGGAGGAGACGGGGCAGCAGCTGAGCCTCCAGGAGCGCTTGAGGCTGAAGGAGGAGAAGAAAAAGCAGGCTGCGCTCATGAAAGCCTTGGAGACGCCCGAGGAGAAACGGGCTCGCCGGCTGGCCAAGAAGGAGGCCAAGGAGAGGAAGAAGCGGGAGAAGATGGGGTGGGGAGAGGAGTACATGGGTTACACCAACACCGACAATCCCTTTGGGGACAACAACCTGCTGGGCACCTTCATCTGGAGCAAGGTGAGCTCTCCTCCGCGCCCGCGGGTTGTAGGAGGCTGCTCGAAGGAGATCGTGCCTCTGCGGCCACCGCGGGATGGGACAGAGGAGCAGCGGGGCGTCAGGGGGGATCTTTGCTTGAGGTGGGAACCTCTGTAACAGTAAAAGCAGCCGCACAAGAGCAAAGCGCTGGGTGTTTCTGACGAGCTCAGTGGGGTTTTATCCCCTTTCTCCTGAAGACCAAGGTCTGTGGCCAGAGGTGTGGGACGAGGAGGTGGATCAGGGTGCAGGAGAGGGACCCGGACCTGCTGGGAGCTGCACGCTGAGCGCTGGGCGGTGTTTACCAGTGTGTTAGTGGTTGCCAGGTCGGGTGGCCTCCCTGGGCTGAGGCTGGGTTTTGCTGAGGGGCTTCAGGAGTAGGGTTTGAGGGATTTGGGGACCTTCAAGAGGATCAGAGCTCACTGGAGCGGTGGAAGCAGGTGGATGTGGTGGCGTTTGCTGGCCGGTGAGGGGCTGTAGAGGTCGCTGAGTTTCAGGGCTTCCCTTGGCCGCTCTGTTTCAGGCGCTGGAAAAGAAAGGGATCAGCCACCTGGATGAGAAGGACCTGAAGGAGAGGAACAAGCGAATCCAGGAGGACAATCGCCTGGAGCTGCAGAAGGTGGGATCAGATGTTCCCTCCCTCCCACCGTGTGACAGAGAACCCTGTGGAGAGCCCAGTTCTCCCAGTCGCTCAGCTGGAAGTTCCCTTGTTCTTCTCGCTGGGGGTGTCCGTGGGGGGCACAGTATACTGATTCTGCTGTTCTGGGGGGAGAAGATTCTTGGGGTTGCGTCCAGCTCAGGGAGAGCTGAGGAGGACAAGTGCCAGGTGACGGCACTGAGGCACTCGCTTGTGCCTGTGTCCCCTGTCCTCCAAAGGGCTGGCAGTGAGCAGCAAGCATCCCGGCCCCGCTGGCTCATGCTGGCTTTTCTTCCGTATGGCTCCTGGCTCCCCGGGGAGCCTCAGGCCGATCGCAGGAGCCACGGCAGCTCAGTGAGCAGGATTACGGCTGCATCCTCGAACGGGTGTCCTGCATGGGTGCCCCATCCGCAGCAGCCTCACGTCTCCCTCTGCCCCGAGCAGGTGAAGCAGCTGCGCCTGGAGCGGGAGCGGGAGAAGGCGATGCGTGAGCAGGAGCTGGAGATGCTGCAGCGGGAGAAAGAAGCAGAGCACTTCAAAACCTGGGAGGAGCAGGAAGACAACTTCCACCTGCAGCAGGCCAAGCTGCGGTAGGTGTGCGGCTTTGTGGGGATGGGCCCACCAGGGAGCAGAGGACGGCAGGCATCGCTCGCTGTCCCTCTCTTCTCACCCAGGTCTAAGATCCGGATTCGGGATGGGAGGGCGAAACCCATTGACCTTCTAGCCAAGTACATCAGCGCGGAGGATGACGACCTGGCCGTGGAGATGCACGAGCCCTACACCTTCCTGAATGGCCTGACCGTCTCCGACATGGAGGATCTGGTGGAGGACATCCAGGTGCCAGCTCTGCCGCCCCCGTGCCAGGGCTGGCTGAGGGGCAGCAGCTCAGGGCTTCCCCCCCTCAGCTCTGCTTCCCTGCCCATGGTGCAGAGCAGGTGCCTGATGTCCTGCTTGTCTCCTGCCTGCAGGTTTACATGGAGCTGGAGCAAGGGAAGAACGTGGACTTCTGGAGAGACATGACCATCATCACGGAGGATGAGATAGCCAAGCTCCGAAAACTGGAGGCATCTGGGAAAGGAGGACCGGGTAAGCGGGAGGGCAGAGCCTGGCGTGGCTGTCGAGGGGAGCATGGGTGGTGGGTAAAACAGGGCGTAGGGTCTGCCGCGTGCGCTCAGGCTCAGAGGGGTTCTCTGGGATCTGCTGGATGGAGGCTGTAGATCTGGCAGCCATCCCCTGCTGGGGTCCAGCCCCCCGCTGTCGGGTGCAGCCCAAGAGGGCCTGGGTGAAGGCAGGCCGAGTGTTCGGAGACTGACTGACTGCCCTTGTCTGTCTGTCCAGGGGAACGTCGGGATGGCGTCAACGCTTCCGTCAGCTCGGACGTGCAGTCCGTGTTCAAGGGCAAGACGTACAACCAGCTGCAAGTGCTCTACCAGGGCATCGAGAGCAAGATCCGGGCAGGAGGACCCAACCTTGACATTGGGTACTGGGAGAGCCTGCTGCAGCAGCTGAAGGCTTACATGGCTCGGGCCAGGTGAGAGCAGGGACTGTCCCCTGGGCAGGGCTGCGGAAAGGGGCAGCGCAGACTGTGCCGCGAGCAGAGTTGGGGAGGCACAAACCCAAAGTCGTTGGCGGAGGGATTTTATCCCTTTTCCGAGACGGTTGGTTCTCCCAAGAAGGGAGAAGGGCTGGACACTCACTCCTTTCTCCAGCAGCAATGTTTACGAGAGGGAACCAAACTGGAATGTTATTCAGCCCAAAACTGTACAAAACCCAGTAGATTTCTACCCGATGTGGTGGGTGTCACAGCTCTGGGCAGTGTGGGCATGAGGTGGTCCCGCTGGGTGGGACCCGACAGCTCATCTCCTCTTCACAGGCTGCGAGAGCGGCACCAGGACGTGCTGCGCCAGAAGCTGTACAAGTTGAAGCAGGAGCTGGGAGAGCAAACCGCTCTTCCCCATCATCAAGCGGGAGCCGGCCTCCCCCAGCGACAGGTACGCAGCCTTTTCCTTGGGGAGCACAGCCACCCCAGCCTCTCCCATGGGGCACCTGGGACAGAAAACACATCTTCGTGCTCCCGTCCTTCCGTAGACAGACCTCAGGTGAGCAGAGAGCAAGGGTACCATCCCCGTCCCAGTTCTCTCTTCTCCCTCCCTTGCAGGCTGGATCCAGAGGAGAGCATTGTGGTACAGCCAGGGCCGTCCTCGGAGCCGGAGGCCGAGCAGGACGCAGAGACCAAAGGAGAGACAGAGGGGGAAGCCGTGCTGATGGAGGAGGACCTGATCCAGCAGAGCCTGGACGACTACGACGCAGGGAAGTACAGCCCCCGGCTGCTGGGCACCAACGAGCTGCCCTTCGACGCCCACGTGCTGGAGGCCGAGGAGGATACGCATCGGCTGCTGCTTCTGCGTCAGCAGCTCCAGGTCACAGGTAGGAGCCCCGCGGGCCGGCCCTGCGCCCGCCGGCCTCGCAGCCTGCCTGGCACGGAGGGCGTGCGTGTGCTTCGGGGTGCAGGGCTGGAGGGGGACACTGCCCTCGGAAAAGGGGTGAGTAAGAGCTGGATCTGGAGCACGGATCCAGAGCTGGCCTGGCTGAGGGATGCCCCCGGCAGCCAAGCGCACTGCGGCCCAGACAAGAGCAGGGAGGTGGAGCTCAGACCGCTGGCGTTCCCTGCAAGTACCGGCATCGGGTCCTTCCCGTCTCCCAGCCACACCGCCAAGCTGTTTGGGCTGCGGACAAGTGGGAAGGGTGTTTCGGATGAGTTTCCCAGCGCAGCTCAGCCTGGTGCCCACCTGCCCAGCGTGCACATCTCTGCATCCAGCTCAGCATCCCCCGCCCAGCATCTGCTGCTCCTTCCCTCTGCGCGCCTGGGAGCAGTGTCCCCACAGCCCCGGCCTGGCTGCCACTGATGTCCCCTCTCCTCCCTACAGGTGATGCCACCGAGAGCGCCGATGACATCTTCTTCCGTAAGGCCAAGGAGGGCATGGGCGCGGACGAGGCGCAGTTCAGCGTGGAAATGCCCCTCACGGGCAAGGCTTATCTCTGGGCTGACAAGTACCGGCCCCGCAAGCCCCGCTTCTTCAACCGGGTGCACACGGGCTTTGAGTGGAACAAGTACAACCAGACCCACTACGACTTCGACAACCCCCCGCCCAAGATCGTGCAGGGCTACAAGTTCAACATCTTCTACCCCGACCTCATCGACAAGCGCTCGACGCCCGAGTACTTCCTGGAGGCCTGCCAGGACAACAAGGACTTTGCCATCCTGCGCTTCCATGCCGGGCCGCCCTACGAGGACATCGCCTTCAAGATTGTCAACCGGGAATGGGAGTATTCCCACCGCCACGGCTTCCGCTGCCAGTTTGCCAACGGGATCTTCCAGCTCTGGTTCCACTTCAAACGTTATCGTTACCGCAGATGAGGGGCTGCTCAGCTCCCGGGCCCCGGGGGGGGGGGGGGGGGGGCAGGGGGGTTTTGTCCCCTGTCACAGGCACTGTCCCATGGATGTCCCCGAGGCCTGGCCCAGCACGGGGCCTGTTCCTGAGGGTTTTCCCTGTCCTTGCTTTTATCCTGAGGGACCTGAGACTTTGGTACAAATAAATAGGGGTTGTTTAAGCCGTGGCATCCTGTGCGTCGGCACCCTGCTCCTGCACGGCGTCACCAGCCAGTACCGCACTGGGCCAGCACTGGGAGCTCCCCTCCTCCTCTGGGGGCTGGGTGGGGGGGGGGGGGGGGGGGGTCCCCCCCCCCCCACGCCTCGGGGGTCTGTCACCCCATCCCCGCCTGCCCTCAGCCCCGTGTGCTCCCATTGCCCGCTCCAACCCCACGCCCTCCCCTTGCCTGCGCCGGCTGCCTGCAGCACGCTCCCAGCACTGGTGCCAGACCCGTCCAGCCCAGAGGCTCCCCAGCTGGAGCTGCGGTGCCCTTTGCTCCGCCTGCCTCAGTGGTCCTGCTGCCGCCGACCTCCCCGGGCCCATCGCCCTCCCGGCCGGCCCCATTTCTGGCACGTTCCCCCTGGGATCCAGCTTCCCCAGCCTGGGAGCGCCACCACCTCCCTCGACCCTGGCTGTAGGATGAAAGGGTTCAATGGCTGCCAGGCGTCTGCTTCTGGCAGGGAGGAGGAGAGGGGTGTTAGATGAGATATCTCCTTACAGGGAAAAATCCCATTTCCATGGCCTGCAATCCCTCCCACCACGTGCCTGAGCGGCTCTCGCTGCCCTGGGCCAGTGCCTGCTGCGCTCCCCAGACCCCCATCGCTGAGGTGGGGGTCCCCAAGGGCCCTGAGCAACGCTTAGCGGGCATCGGGCACGGTGGGGAGCGCTTCAGGGCTGAGCTGGGTCTTACTGGTGTCGGTCCCCCCGCCCCACATGGCCCCATCCCTTCCAGCACCCGCACCCTCGGGCTGTCCCCGCTCTGTGCTGGAGCAGGCAGGAGGGGAGGCCGGTGCGTGCGTAACGCCTGGTAGCGCAGCCTCCAGGAAACCTCTGTCCTGGCCGTGAGCTATTGCAGCACGGTTGTTTCCTCCCCGCGGGCCTCGCTGCATCCTGCTGCCCCGGTCCAGCCCCATGGCGGAGGGGCTCAGGGGCTGCCCAGGTCCCCCAGCACCGGGGCAGAGCCGGCCCTGCTGTGTGGGGGCTCCCTGGCCTCGGGGGCTGCCCCACGGCTGTCGTTTTCCCCCATAGCTCAGGAGGGTTGCCCTGTCCTGCGGCTCAGCACCGCCGGCAGGATCCGGCCCTGCAAGCACCGTGGGAGCTCAGGCTCAGGAGGCTCCCACGCCTGCCGCAGCCACCCACGCGTGCCGCGGCGCAGCCTGCCTGGGAATGGGGCTGGGGGAGACCCCAACCGCCTCTGCTCCGCAGGTGGGTGCCCCCTCCCCGTCCTGCCGGACGTCCCCGGGCTGGCGGCTGTGCTGGGACGCGTCCTCCGGCCTCTCCTTCCTGTGCGTTATTTAAAGCTGCGAGCGGCTGCTTGGCGCAGGGGGGTTTTGGGGCCGGAGCTCAGCGCAGGAAGCGTGTGCAGGCCCGGCCAGGGACGGCTTTGGAGGAAATAGGAAAAAAAAAACCCAAACCCCAAAGTCAGTGGTTGGGTGCCCTCCCAGCTTAACTGCCGGGCAGAGCCCCCTGCCCACAGCCCCTCTCCCTCCTGGGTGCACAGGGAGGGGGGGACTCCCCCCAAAACCTCCCACTGTCCCCAGCCTGGGCAGGGTCTGTGTCCTTTCCCAGGTGCTGCCTTTTCCCCGCACCCTCGACTTCGGTCCCTGGATGGAGCCACCGACCAGGCACAAGAGCCCGAACCCCGGGAGCTGCTGCAGCTGGGCCCCCGCCGTGGCCGGTTCAGGGGCTGGATCCAGCTGACGCCCAGGATGGGTTTTTCCAGCCCCGGCTGCTCTCAGTGCCCTGCTCCCCATCTCCCCCAATTTCAGGGGGAGCCGGTTACGTTCCTCTGCCTCGTGATTTGCCATGGTGCAGCCCTGGCCTGGCTTTGGGAGGCACAGCTCTCCTGCTCCCAGAGCCAGCGGCAGCGGCTCGGCTGGGTTCATGCCGGGGCGGTGGCAGGTCAGGGCGAAGCCACCTTCGGCACCCCTGCGCCCACATCCTCTGCGAGCGCGGCTGCGCCCCGGGCCGGGACGGCAGGAGGGTGGGCACACCCGAGCGGCGTCCAGGCACGGTAGCCGGCTGCTGAGCTGGGTTCTGCTCGCAGCGGGGCCACTCCTGCTCCCAGCACGCTCCCCCCACCAGGGCCAGCTGCGTTCCAGCTCCCCAGGCTGTCCCTCCGGCTCCAACCGTCACCCTCCTCCTGGGCGTTTGCTCTGACAGTCTTTGCTCCACACCAAGGGATCAAGGGACAGGGTCTGCAGCCCGGCAGCACCAAGGCGGTGGCAGGCAAACCTCCCGCTCAGACCTGTGAGCATCGCCCGGCCGCCTGCGCACCCTGGCCTCGATGGGATGCTGGTGCACGCCCCTGCGTCACCCATGGGCTCGGACACTCCCAGCGCTTCGGAGCTGGATGGAGACACCGGCGCCAGGGACGGGCTCTGCCCTTCCCGGCAGAGCACGAAGAGCAGCAGCGGAGGCCGTCGCGTCCCCTCCTGCGGCTCCCATGCT